AGGCTGCTGTGTTTAGGCTCTGCAGTGTCAAGTCTCAAAATGTGGCAGAGGGTGCTGTTGAGTTTCCCCAACCATTTCCCAACCATTACCAGATAGATTTGGAATTAGAGGTTGCTGTGAATAAGCACTGTGTGTAAGAAACATACATACTATATATTGCTACATGCTCATTTTTGGTTGTAGCTAACAGTTTTATAACTGTGTACAACTAGGTGTAACATAATGCAATGTATACTTTTTAATGGATGGTTCTCTACTTCATCTCATGGTTAGTTTGGTTTTTGTTTGCTGTAATGCTAGCAGACGGTGGTTCAGTGGGCAGCCTTGTGGCCTCACACCTCTAAAGCTGAGACTTTGAATCCTGCCCATGGTGTGAGTGTGTGTGTGTGTGTGTGTGTGTGTGTGTGTGTGTGGAGTTGTCCCACTCGCACCAGAGACCCTGTCCAAGATCACTGGTTGTAAAATGTGTGGATGATGCTGGTTAGTGTCCATTGTACAATATCCTGAGATGTTTCTCTCCATGGGTTCAGCTGATTTTTGCAGTAAAACCTGTAATTTTTGGTATTTCTTTCAAACACAGCTGTTATTTTACCTGTCCTTCCTGATATTAGCTGATATACTGGAGGTTTCCTGACCCCCTCTTTGAAACTACCTACTGAGGCTTTTTTGTGTGTGGGCGTTAAGGCTCTGATTTTTGGTGTCGTAGTGTGTTTTGTGCCAAAAAGTGACACAGACACAAATCTCCCTTGAATGTGGTTCATTGAGTGAAATGCGAAAGCAGCCATTATACCCCACCGCCCCCCCCCCCACACTGCCATAGCTCCAGCATGCACAGGACTGTCAATAGGGACATTCAGTCAAAAAAAGCAGCTGCGTCAGGCAGGTGCACGGCCAGCACGGGGGTCCTGAGCGGGTCCATCTGTACTGTATTAGCGGCAGCGCTAACCGTACCCGTTATACTATGGGCACATGGAGGGACTTGTCTGGCAGGAGACGGGCAGGATCTAACAGCATTCATCGCCGTTTCCGGAGCTTTGAAAAAAGCTCATAAAACACATAGTGAATTTTGCACCAGAGTGCCGTGAGACTGAGTTTTGTATCACAAGATTGGCATCGTAGTTAATCAGAGACTGAAGTTTCAGGTCCAGAAAATAAAAATCCAGACCGAGATTTTATTTCAACCAACCAGTCGAGTTCTCTGTGAATATGACTCTTTATGCTCAACTGGTTGGTTGAAACAAAATCTTGGTCTGGATTTTTACTTTCTGGACCTGAATTATCCACCTCTGCAGTTAATCTGTTTACAGTAAGCCATCGCTTATGGAACCATCAATCTGCAAGTTTGCCATTGCCCAGTACCTGTATGACGTGATATGAAAATTTCCATTCCGGGGGCTGTTATCATTCAGCATAGCTTTTAATGGGGGTCCCTGCCCCTTTGTGAATAGAGCCATGACTGATTTACAGCATTTATATTTTAAACGTGCTATATATAAGGGCCAGGCACCTGTGATTACCCTGTCAAAACACAGTGAAATAACACATCCCTGGCAGGATTTACACCGGCAGGAAGATGGGATCACCCCTTCATTTTCTGAACAAAACACCAGCATTTAGGTTGCAAATGCCAAAATTATTATAGGTTTTTTGTTTTTTTTTTTAAATTGACTGCCTGTTTT